GAAGCATTTTATTAAATGAATCAGGTCACTTTGGGATTCCAACAGGCACTTTACGGCACAACAGGACCTTTCTACGTAACGCTGTCCATTACCATAAGTCCACATCACTCATTCAAAGCGCTGAAGGCAGCACTACCCAGGAGCTGAAAAATGAAATAACACATTTCAGTCTGACGCGACCGAAACAGTTAACCTCCTTTGGCCACTTTTCTCCCAGAGTAATTTCTGTTGATGGACAGTGCCATACACACAGCCGGTGTGTCTTCGAAGACACGAGGCTCTCACAAAAAGGTCCAGTCACCCGTGATTTGGCAGCAAGTGCGAGAAGAGTGTCCTTAAATCATCTGCGGTGTCTTTCTCTGAGAAATTAAGTAAATTGAGCATATTCAAGCGACAGCTTGTCTATTCTTAAGTAGTATTAAAGGGTGATATTTTACCCTAAATTAAGAGTCAGGCAACTTTTTGGCACGTGTCACAGCCCAAATGGATTACTGAACTGCTGATGTATGTAGCAATCCATTGAGTGAAAAAGATGTGGGAGTGTAATGAATTTAAAATGCTGTAATAGACATAAATATTTATCACGAGTGACAGTAAAATTAGAAACAACATTCAATTAAAATCAGTTGTAATTTATTGTTGTTATTGATTTGCGTAAGGTGGAAATGAATGCAGAAACATTTCATTACACCGAGAGGGGCTGCTGATCTGCTTTTGGCCTCAGTGTAATATTTTACATGAGAGAGACAGACTGATACTATTAAAACACAGCCAGTCATTCCCGCTGTCTCAAACATGAACTCTCTTGCTCTGTCTCACTTTGTCTCTTTCTTTTCTCAACATCCCTTGTCTCATCCATTCACCCATCTCATTCATTCTTATTTTTTCCACACATCTTGTCTATTAAATTTTCTTTGTTTTTTTTCTGTTCTTTTCTTTTTTTACGTTCATCTTTTCTGGTCTTGACTCATCTCTTCTCTTATATGCTCAGCTTGTCTCTTCTTGTGATGTTTTGTCTTGTCTTGTCTATGCTTAGCTTGTCTCACCTTGACTTGTCTTGTCTCATCTTGCTTCATCTCATCTCTTCTATCCTCAACTTCTCTTGTCTCTTCTCTTCCCATTTTTCCTTACTCTTCTATTTTCTCTCTATGTATCTCATTATATGACTGTCCCTTTTACTTTGTCTCATACTTATGCACTGTTATCTCTTCACAAATCTTACCTCTACATTTCTTTTCTTTTCTATGCTCAACTTCTCTTCTCATCTGGTCAACTTGCCTCTTCTGGTTTCGACTCATGTCTTATCATTTATGCTCAGCTGGTCTTGTTTTGTGTTGTCTCGTCTCATCTTTTCTATGCTCAGCTTGCCTCATTTTATCTCGTTTTGTCTTATCTCACCTCATCTCATCTCTTCTATGCTCAACATCACTTTTCATGTCTTTCATGTCTTCATCTCTTCTTGTTTCGTCCTATTCTCTTCCTGTTCTTCTTCTCGCAAGTCTCATTGAATGACTCTTCTCCCTCTCACTTTGTCTCATTATTATCCATTGTTATCTCTTCACACATTTCATTTCTTTATTTCTTTTCTTTGCTTTTTTCTGTTTATTTATTCCCTTTTCTATGTTCATCTTGTCTCTTTGGTGGTCTCTTCTTGTTGGTCTCTTCTTGTCTCATCTCTTGTCTTTTTTGTCTCATCTTGCCTCATCTTGTTTTGTCTCATCTCTTCTCTTCTATGCTCAGCTTGTCTCTTCTTGTATTCTCTCTTCTATGCTCATCTTGTCTTATGTTGTCTTGTCTCTTCTTGTCTCATCTCTTCTCGACTTGTCTCACCCGCTTTCATCTCATCTTGCCTTGTCTTGTCTCTTCTATGTTCAGCTTGTCCCTTCTTGTCGTGTCCCATCTTTTCTCTTCTTTGCTTGTCTCTTGTTGTTTTGTCTCTTATGTCATCTTCTCTCAGAGCATGACTCCTCCCCTTTGACTTTATCTCATCGCTATCAATAGTTATCGCTACATATCTTGTGTCATCATTTCGTCTCCTTTCTTCTACGCTTAACTTTTCTCTTCTGCTCTTTCCTATGCTCAGCTTGTCTCTTCTTGTCTCATCTCTTCTCGACTGGTCTCACCTGGTCTCATCCTTTCTTGTCATATCTTCTCTCTTCTATGCTCAACTTGTCTTGTATTGTCTCGTCTCATCTCTGCTCCTGTCTTCTTGTCTTGCTTCTTTTCTTCAAGTATATAATCTTCTCTCATTGTTTGACTTCTCCCCTCTCACTTTGTCTCTTCGCTAGCCATTGTTATTGCTACACGTCTTGTGTCAACATTTTTCCACTCTTCTATGCTCAAGTTGTGGTTTCTCATCTCTTCTATGCTCAGCTTGTCTCTTCATGTCTTGTCTCACCTATTCTCTAGTTGTGTCACCTGGTCTCATCTTGTCTTACCTCATTTTGTCTCTTCTATGCTTTGCTTGTCTTTTCTTGACTTATTTTGTCTCACCTCCTCTCTACTTGTCTCACCTGGCCTCATGTTGTTTCTTCTTGTCTTGTTTTGTCTTGTCTCATCTCTTCTATGCTCAACTCTTCTCTTCTTGTCTTTTTATGCTCAGTGTGTCTTTTATTGTCTCATCTCTTTTCAACTTGTCTCACATACACTTACCTTATCTTGTCTCATCTGGTCTCTTCTATGCTCAGCTGGTCTTTTCTTGTTTTCTCTTGTTTTGTCTCATCTCCTCTCTGCTCCTCTCTTCTTGTTTTGTCACTTCTCTTCAAGCATATCATCTTCTCTCATTGTATGACTCCTCTCCTCTTGCTTTGTCTCTTCACTATCCATTGTTGTTGCTATATGTCATCATTTTGTTTCCTCTTTTCTATGCTCAACTTGTCATTTCTCTTGTCTTCTAGGCTAGGTTTGTCTCTTCTTGTCTTGTCTCACATCTCTTCTTGATTTGTCTCCCTTGGCCTCATCTTGTCTCCACTATGATCAGCTTGTCTTTTCTTGTCTTGTTTTGTCTTCTCGTTGCTTCTCTTCTCTGCTCGTCTCTTCTCGTTCTTGTCTCGCCTCTTCTCTTCCAGTATTCATCTTCTCCCAGCTCTCAGTGCCTCTCATTATGACTCCTCTACTTCCTACTTTGTCTTTTCCCTATGCGTTGTAATCGCTTCTGTTCTCTTATTTTATACTATTAATTACTTTAATAGTATTCAAGATGTATATTTTGTTAAAATGTGTAAGTATGTAGATCCATTACGTATGTCTGTATAATTCGTGAATATGTATACGGAGCATTGGGGCGGTGCTGGAGGGGCGGGTGGAGGGGGCGGTGCATGTGTGCCTGCAGGGCCAGGTATGTTAATCAGGTATTCATTAAGATTAAATATAAGATGAAGGGTTGAGGTGCGATTGAAAGCTAGGTAAAATATGTATCTAATTTTCTAGATTGCCACCTTGCTTTTTAATTTCAGCACTTGGCAGATATTCATTATGATTAAATACGAAGACGAAGGGTTGAGGTGCGATTGAAAGCTAGGTAAAATATGTATCTAATTTTCTAGATTGCCACCTAGCTTTTTAATTTCAGCAGGTACTTGGCAGAAATTTGCATGGCATTTAGGCACTCATTACAATATTAATCTTCCCACAAAAGTTGCAAGGGCTCAAAGGTTAAGCATGATTCCTACATTAATTTTACAACGACTTTTTTTACCTGTATAAAGATTCTCCTTTACAAAGGTCCTCATTTGCTTCACTAAGTGGTTCATAATGAGAGCAAAGATAAAGTATTGAAAAAAAAAAAAAAGTGAATCAGATGTGTTACTGTCAAAAAATAGTATTAGAGAGACTGACATTTTTAAGACATGTTGTAGAACTAGTTTGCCATACAGATCGTTATTCTTTATTGAAATCTTTTCAGAGGGTCTTTTCTTCTGTTAATATCAGTGAATTCATTTGTAAACATGTTTAAGAGAAAAAATACATTAAAACAAACAAACACCATGGGATGTTTGAACAAAATGATACTGAAAAATAAGCAGATGTTCATTTACAGTCATATACAAAAAATAATCTTTGCACTCAGGTTTATGGATGAATGGTACAAGAACTCAGCATGACAAATAACAATTATAATATACTAGAAATTCTAAGTAAGATTCACATGCCACTTCAAATTAGGCCAAATGTTTAAAATCCAGAACTCTATCTTTTATAAGTTACCTAAAAGACAATGTTATATAACAACAGAAGTGCTTACTCAAAACTTAGACAGTAAAGTTAGTTCACCTTAGTTTACCTTTATGTGTTACATGTTATAATAGCAATGAAGTTCTGGGCCTTTAAAAAAATCAGTTTGCTCAAAAATATAAAGCATTATATTTTCCATCATATATTTCAGGTCTACTTAAAGAAAATCTTCTGCTTGCTGATGTACTGCGATTTTAAAATTATGTGATGCTGTGTTAATGATGGTTGGAATGGGTAGTCACTGGTATGGAAGAACAGACTGTGAACAGTTGTCATATTTAGTAATATTTGTTAATATTAATGTCTAGAAGTCTAATATTATGAATTATTCTTAAATACTACAACTGTCATCACTGACATCCACAGTAACACAATAATAGAAGTGTTATTATGATAACTTTAATAACTTACATAAAGTCATTATTAACAAACATTCTATAAAGCTTATCGGACAAGAATATAGCCACATTCACATGAAAATATCATTACGCACATATTTTATTATGCACTATTCTTATGTTCAGCATTAAATTGATTTTGTATAAAGGTTGTGGAAGAAGACGTGTTAGCAAAATGACAGACACGTTTAAAGACACGAATTAAATATATATATATCATCTGTCTAAAAAGTTGTCTTCGCTTTTGACAGTGAGAACACAAGTCCCCGCCCATCACTGGCAGATGGCCAATAATATTCGAAGGCGTGTGCCATCGCGCTCCTTATTGGCTGAGATGGCTGTCACTCCGGCCTTTAGTGGGCAGGCTAATTGAATCGCTGAGTGCGATACACTTCTATCCATCTCACTCGCGAGGAAGGTGGTTGCACATTACCGACTATCAGCAGTCGCTACCGGAGACGCATGAGAAACACCGAGTGAAAGCCGCGAAACAGTACGAGGAGCCAGCAAAGGTGTGCTTGACTCAAAAGTACGGAAAGGAGGAAACTTCGCATAAACTATGGCCGTATCAGCAACTCCTCCGGTGCTTTCACCGACCTCCACTCCCGGGGGCGCGAGCAGCCTGTTCCGTCCCGACTCTCTGTACTCCAGCCCGGCCGAGTCCCCGCGACTGACCAGCAGCATGATCAACTCTTTCATCACCGGCACCGGCGGCGGCGGCGGCAGCACTAACGGGAACGGGCCCGGCGGTGTCCACAATAACGAGTGTAAGATGGTGGAGGTGCACGGGGTGAAAGTGGCCTCGTTCGCCGTGGACGGTCAGGAGCTCATCTGCCTCCCGCAGGTGTTCGACATGTTCCTGAAGCACCTGGTCGGCGGACTGCACACCGTCTACACCAAGCTGAAGCGGCTGGATATATGTCCGGTGGTGTGCACGGTGGAGCAGGTGCGGATCCTGCGCGGACTTGGGGCCATTCAGCCGGGCGTGAACCGGTGCAAACTCATCACCCGAAAAGACTTCGAGGCGCTTTATAACGACTGCACCAATGCCAGGCAAGTCTTAGCCTATATCGCATATGCATCTCCCATTTACGCTCAGCTTTGGAACCTGACGTGCTTTTCAAGTTCATTCAGAACTAGCAGAGTTGTCGTACTTGGAAAAGTTGCTAACACTTCATGATAACTTTAATAAAAATGATTTCATGCGTGTGTAAATACGAATATTTATGGAAATATATGAATCACACGTTTATGACATTTCTATTTTAACGCACGTGATCTAAACAAGATAGGTAGGCTACCTTTAATATAAATTAATAATGTTTTAAGTTTATTTGGATATAAAAAGGTTATTATAAAGTGCTGTTTGTGAACTCTTTCTGCCAAACCACCTGCAGTTTTGACCTCTTTTCTGTTTCGAATCAAATCATTGTTTTGAGAAAAAACAATAGTAACAAAAATAGGCTAATAATAAAAATTAATGGCAGCTTTCTCCAAAATCAAGCAAATAACTTTGTCCGGGATCTGTTCTCGCTGTGACCACTCGATCTGCTTTTTACGTAACTGTCAAGCGTTTATTAGGTTACAGAGCAAACATGGTAATTTTAATGATTCAGATAAACTAAAAACAATAATATGATATTCATTTACACTTATTTATATATATATATATATATATATATATATAAACAACAAAATGCAAATTTCAATATTTCAGCTGCCTTGTAATAAAATCTGTTTTGGAAGGCAAATTTGAATAGCTACTCTGAAATTCTGTTTACGCTAATTGAACTTGCAGGATTTATTTAAATGATGTCATAAAACAATCCGCACAACAATGATGGTAAAGATGATTTTTTAAAATTAGCATGTATCTTTACTTTTTGTCTTTATAATCTTTATAAGTCAACTTTTCCTGGATCTGCTAGATTTATAGCCTTCATTGGTATACGTTTTGATTTGTTAAACGACTAAACTGACTCATTATACTTTATTGATCATTCTACACTAAGTGTTTAGAAACTTTCAGGTTTTCAGTACAGTTATATTTGCTGTTTTTCCCACTTTTATTCTTGCTTATACAATGAATGACAGCTCTTTGGACTAGGGGTCATACTTCGGTTGTATTTCACTTTATTCTGTTATTTGCTCCACTGAGTCAGGCTCACATGAATAGACATCAATATCATTTATGCACATTTAACTCTTGTCATATCCAGGGCCAGATCTGGAATTCTTGTTTGATACTCCATTTGTCTGGATGATGTCCCACGTCTCATTTGGATAAGGTGTTGGGCCATGTTGCATAAATCAATGAATCACCTCTCCTGGATCTGTGGCTGTGTTTGGTGTGGAGATGTTATTCTTAGCTTGTTATCATGACAGATGCATTAGTGTTCTCAGGCTCCTGCAGCAATATCAGCTTATGTGTGTGTGATTGGTGTGGTGGGACTCAAGGGAGCAGTACACCGTTAAGACCTTTATCATCCAAGGAAAAAGTCTCTAATTATATGTTAGTATAAAAACGGCAGCATCTTCGCTTTTAGTGGAATAACAGTCAAAACACTGTGTATAAAAATGCATAAGACTTTTTATAAAAAACACTTAAATAATTTTGAAATCATTTGTGTTATTTATATAAATTAAATATAATGCAATATATTAAATATATATATATTTTGAAGTAAAGCCGGTCCCCAAAAGTTCACAACCTTTAGTAACCTTAACTTCAGTAACTCTATGTATTCCTCTCCATGAAGTGCTTTGCATCAGGTCTAGTATTTTCAATTTTCTATTTCCGTTTTCGTACTTTCTCACAGGTAAAAGGTCAGGTATTGAAAATTGGTCGGGGCGAGAAGGTTCAGGAACGTGGCCTTAAAGTGCGGTTTTGCACGGCGGATGTGTGTGTGGAGATGCACGCATGTGTGTTTTAGGGAGAGAGGGAGAGAGAGAGAGAGAGCGCAAATCCAGATGGCCATTCTGGGCAAGGTTCGGTAATTAACCTTTTAACATCCCCAGCACAATTTCCAGAAGAATCCCCCGTCACTTTATTGGGCTTTGCGCAGTTCTGAATCAATCTGCCGTGCACATCTAATTAGAAATGAGAGCGAGGAGAAAGTGAGCGGGGGAGAGACCGTTTTACAACATTATTTTGTTTAATTTTGAGTCCAGGCAAAATGGACAATAAGAGAATGAGGTGCGGAACGCTGCGCTTTTCACTCTTCTGTCAGATTGCAGCATACGGTCGGATAATGAAATTGCCTGAGCAATGGGCCCCCCTGAAATTGAATTTGCTCCTCGGCATCGTTGCTTTACAGTTCACCTTTGCAAGCATCGCTTTTATAGTCAGATTTAAACATCATCCACCGTCCCGCTACCAGATGGCTGAAACTAATGTGCGTGCTGGCCCCTCGCCTCCTCTCCCTCTCTCTCTCCTCTCCTCCTTCAGCACAGGCTCACTGGGAGAAGGGCTAAGCTGAGACAAATGGGTGTCTTTTGCATCGGTTTGCACGGGACAGCCATGGCGAAGCAAGTGAGTAGTGTGTCTCAAAATTGATCCTGAGCTGCCTACTTCGGGGGTGTTCAAACAGGACGGATTGTCCTATTGAAAGCAGCCAGACAGGGTGCGACAGAATTAAAGAGGTCACAGGACATGCAGTTTTACAAACACTTAGAGTGCGACGCAATGGCCAAAGGCATCTCATGCGTGTTTACATAGACTAACAAAACGGATAGGGGTGGGGATCTTAGGGATTTTTACGACACCGTTTCTGTTTCCTCTTAATGATTCCCTAAAAGTTCCGTTAAGATTCTTTGTTAAAGAGTAAATATTAGGAAAAAATTAATTGCAACTTTTATTGCATTTAATGCCCTCAGCATTCAAATAATCAGATCGTATCACCTTTCACAGAACAGACAATATAAAACAATTATTGCAAAATGTATTTACAAAGACAATTTAAAATCTTTTTAGGGGTGGCAAATGTAAGGTAGTAGGCTAACTATATTTCAAATAAAGCATTTTTTAAAATAAAAATATAAAAAAGTACAACCGAACTTTTAGGCCTCTTGGAGTCAGACATGAAGAATTAGTAACCTACATCAGTTTATTCAGCTTTCACAAAATTCACAAAATACAATTTTAAAGTCATACCCAGGTTGGATTTAGTGTTTTGAGGCACTAAAACGAACCGACTCATAAGAGTCATTCGTTCAGGAATCGGACTACACTGATTGCGCTACGTTTTTGATTCACTAAAAAGAACCGGCTCATAAGAATCATTCGATCGGAAAACAGGACTACACTGTTATACTATAGGCTACTGCACGTTTCGTCCACGTTTTAGGGCCCGAAAATCATACAATTATTGATTTATTTATTTAAAACGAGTTTTGAAAAAGAGTTGGTTCTGGGTTCGTAATCATACAGAATCATACTCAAGAAAGCGTCCTTTATGAACGCCCAGCAGTCGGCGCGTTCCGAGTCTGCAGCTGAATGTGCTGTCTAGTTAGGGAGCTCACTAGGTTTTCAGATGCAGCCTAAAAACATGCAAAGGGCTCTTTAAAACTTCCGGACTGAAACGCACAGAAAGTGTCCAAATCAGCAAACGCATTACGGCTCGCTTTTTATGATTTCTCAGCTCGCAATTGATCTCCAGGTTTTTAAAGCATTCATTATTTATTAAAACGAAATTTGCAAGCTAAACATAACACTAAACTAGTTTGCACTTGGGGACTGCACTTAGGAAATTGAATGGGAATTACATTAGAGATGAACATCTGTGCTTGCTCTCCTGCCTCTTCGCAAAGGTGGATTGGATTAGTTTAACTGTTTTGTTTTTTTCTCCACCAAGTGCAAGAACATCCAAAAATAAAAAAAGTGCAGAAAGCTCTTGTCCACTAATATTTATTGCATCACTGACCAGAGAGTTACTTCATGCGAGTAACATCATAAAAATGAGAACAACATCCCTGTTTGCATTCATGCCAATCGCACTTTAGCAGGAATGGTCAGGCTAAATCATAAAACGCATTACTTGTTCGAAAGCCTGTCATATTTTTTTTTTTCGTCTCGAAGCGATTTGCTTTTTTTAGTCATTAATTTAAAATGTGTCTAATTCCCATCGTTGCCCCAGGCGCGAGCTACCATCACACTGCGCGTCAAAACGCAGCGTTTCAAAGATTCCTGCACGATTTGACACCTTTAGGAAGCACAATCTGTAGATTCATTTGAATTAGTATCTCACGTATGATTGATTTGGTCTGATTTTAAGTCATACTAAAACACTGAACGCTAAATAAAACTGGAAACTTTAAAACAAAGACGCAATGATGGACAAGGTCGGCTATTACCCACAATTATCTCCACATCTCATGTCAGGAGTGCGCGTGAGCCTCCAGGTCTCTCCGTTTCGTCGCGCGTGCACGTGTGCGCGCTCGGTCCATATGGACAGAGGCTCAGTGCCTTTGGCTTCGCCCGAGGCACCCGAGACACCCCGCTGTCTCATCAAATCTCCTCAGATTGTCACTCTTCCTTCTGCACACCTTAATGTCAGCCATTAATTATACATCCACCTTTTTCTGAGGTTGTTTTTTTTGCAGATTCACTCTTTCCTTTACCCTTTTTGCACAGTAAATTATGAATTAATACAGTTTGAAGCATCAAGAGGGGCTTCATTGTATCTGTATGTTAGTATGTGAACGGCTGTCATATCTCATTTCCAGTGGCCCCATATGGACACTCAAGCCACGCATTTTGTCATCTTTTTTAAACAATATGTCATGATTTGTAACCTAACAACCTTCTTTTTTATTATTTATATTGATTTTTAAATTTAACAAACAAATACAACATTAAATAACAAAGAGACAAACAAGCAAAATGTTCTGATATATATATATATGTGTGTGTGTGATTAATCTATGAATATTAATATATTTGTGATTCAGATGCAAAAACCTCTGAGATTTTTCTTTTATATACTTTGTGCACACACACACACACACACACAGACACAGACACAGACACACACACACACACACATACAGACAGA